TAAAACAACAAAATACAATAAAAAAAAAAAAACAAAAAAAAATATATATATATATATATATGTATAAATATATATAATATATATATATATATATATATATATGTATATAGGTAGTAGCTATGTTTCTTAACTAGCTGTAGTTAAGAAACATGTAAATGTTTCAATCCCAAAAAAAAAAAAAGAATTGTACAGTATATATATCTGTGTATGTAATATATATACATATGTATATATATGTAGGGATTATTTAAGTCGACGTCACACATAACTTATTTATTTGTTATCGGAGAATTGGGTCGAAAACAATCATACAATACAATAATTGATAATAGCTTTATTTCGGGGCACCAGTGAACAAATCACCACTGATAACGTGTGTATGACGTCACGTTATCTATTAATTGGCTCATTTATTGATTCAGTAATCATATGAGTCATTAATTATATAATTAGCTATAATTCCAATAGAATCTGAAGGTATGAATACTTTTACAAATCAGTGACCTAATTTATCAGCACAAATATCACTTTTAGACAAAGATGGTTTGGTAGATTTAATGCAGTATGTACAATACAGATTAGATGAAATATGCAAATTGTCAAGAATAACATGAAGGAAACGCTGATTGTATTGTGGTTAAAATGCTAAGGCTAAGATGAGATGAGGCTAATGCAAGGCCGAAATGCATGTATTGAAAACTGAAATTGGTTAAATTGATAAACCAGGTGTGTCAAATCAGTGCTCAAAGATCTGGTGTTGCAATTTTAATTCCATCCAGAGCACATAAGACATTTCCTCAAGTGAGTCCAGTTTGAACCTGAAGACTTGAGGTCATGGGTGGAGTGTGGTGTGCTCCAACTGCCCACACCTGCAGCCACACTGGCACTTTCCTGAATCAGTTTGACAGCCCTGGGTAACAGTGGCTAACACCAATCATGTGTCGCTGATAAGTCTAGTCAAACTTCTAGTTTTAGATATATTTTTGTATTTTCAGTTCAATTCAACGCAGTTCCAAAAAATGCACACTAAGTGTTTGAGTGTGTACTTTGAGTCAACAAATGAGAAGAAAACCAGATTAAAATAGATTGTTTTAGTTCTCGAGTAAGTAAGTCTTTATCTAGCACATTGCATAGACTAAGGTGTGTGCTAGTGCTTTACAGTGATTTAACTTTAACTTTAGTTTGTTTTAAAGTGTGCATTCACTGGTGCCTTCATCTGCTCTGGTTATTATGATGAATACAACTTGTGGGAAATTGCATGTAAACTAAGCTCATATTTCTACTGGAGAACCTGGAGAAGAGTTTGGTACGTTATGGTATTATTTGTTGTTGTTTTTTATTTTTTGCCTAAATGAAATGACCTTTGACCTTCAATATGGTGGGGAGCTTTGTTTGTCCAATCCAATCCACTTTATTTTTAAAGCACATTTTAAAAAGAACAAGTTTCATAAGTGCTGCACAGAGATAAAATCAATACATTTGGATAAACAAATTTGCCAGCTTTATTTGCTTGAAAAAAATAATTATGTATTGGTCATTCAGAATCATGGGCCATCACACAATGTCTCTCCTTCACTCAGCTCATAAAGTCTGTCAGAACAATGGGCACCGTGAGCACAAGGCCCTAATTGGGGAAAGTCGCACTTGTCTAGAACAAAGTGTGTGTGTGCGCGCGCGTGTGTGTGTGTTTGGCTTGGGGAGCCGAGCGGCGCTGCTGGAGTGGATATTGCTGAGAGAGCGTTGGTTGTACTGACGCAGAGACAAAAGCTGGAAACCAAAGCGCTTCCTGAGACCGGACACGCGAGTGCGCTGCCGCTGACAGAAGAATGAGACGGAGCATGAGATGGAAGGAAAGTGTGGAGAATCCGCCCAGAGATGCACTGTGCAAACTATTATCTTGCTGATTAAAGACCACGTGTTGTGACAAAGATGTTTAGAGCTGTTAAACCGTTGGTCTTGTATCAAAGATTGACCTGGCGTTTGCTCCTTACTCACTGATACCAAGAAAGTATGTGATTTTTTTCATTTTAAAGTCCATCTATATCTTTTATATGTGTTTACAGATTATATGTCACATGTAAAAATTGCATTTGACCATCACTGAACAGAAGTTGTTATCAATTTAAAATACAACAGACATGATTGTTCATACTGTACTGATTTTCAGATATTTCAGATTTATAGTTTTTGTGATACATAACATATATACAGTCGCTAAATCCCAGTGGGTGGTACTTTGTCACAGGCGGGAAGATTTTGGCAACAAAAGTGTGATTGTAATGAGTTTGTTAAACCACTCGATCAAAATAAGCAACACAACAAAGTGGATGGTCATCAGAGCAATGGTGTCTTTGCGTTCTACTGCCATAGTATTTATTTTACTGCTTCACAACATGCAAACAATTCCCCCCTTGGGAACAATAACGCTTTGGAGTTGAGTTCTTTCATTCAGGAGGATATACATCACTCAAACATCAGGAAGTACCTTGTATCAACCCTTGTGGGTAAATAAGAAGGGACACTATACAGTAGCATGGCTCACAAATGTCAAATTAGCTCAAACGTCAGCTTTTGAAAGCTTGCCTGATTATTACTATGTTTAAAACATGCTTAAGAGGATAAAGGATGTGACACCATCTAAAGGCCTATTCAGAAGAAGCCAGTACTTGCATGTAGGGCCCCTGTTTGGCACATTGTGATACTGATTTACTTGCCCTTGACCACTTTGCTAAATCACCTAAAGTATAGGGTCCTGGCTTATGAAGTAATAGTAATTTTCTTCAGAAATATTGTAAAAGGCAACTTCCATGTCTCTGAGCCACAGGATGGCCAAGCGATACCTGATACCATCTTTGCGTCTCTATGGTTGAAAAATGCCTTTGAAGAAGTGTCAATATCCCATATACATATGTGGATAGAACATAATTGTATATACTGTATAGATTGATTCTATGCTTCCTTAATACAAGGGCAGCCCTACACACTGCTGCCCTGACCCCGGTCCAGCCCTGGTCTTCTCCTCACTACATCCAGCCTCCTAACATGTCCGTGGTTCTGTTATCAAATCGTCAGGGCTGATTCATTGCCATGCAGCGCGAAGCCTGATTTATATGCAGAATGCAAAACAGATGCCTGGTGCGATACATATTTATGGTGAGGCCTGCTCCACAAGATTTATTAGGGCCTGTTTCACGGGGGTGCGCTCCAGATCACTTGTACTTCCTCTCAGCTGCCAATGCCAAACTCATTAAAACGAGCTGCAACTATTAATACACATTGTAATCCTGACAGCGTCTAATTTATAATCCCAATCTGCTGGATGTGCCACACTTCTGCCCACTTCCAGATGATCTGCTAAGTTTACCCTCATGCAACACATGCTAACTGGACTGCTCTGAGCTGGTGAGGAGATGACAGTGTTTCTCAGGAGCTTTTGGCTTCTTCACACAGCACACGTGTGTTCGCCCTGTTACGGACAGTGGTGGAGATCTGTTCTGCCTTTTTAAAAGAAAAAATGTGAATTGTTTGCGTTCACTTTTTTCTTCTTAGGAATTAGATTTTATTCTTTATATGGCCAATGTTGGACATAATTAGAAGTTTTAATTTCACCTTCATTTCACTCTGACTATTGAACCTGAAACACTTTGTATTAATACTATATGCTATTAGTTTTATGAAGACCACACTGATTTGTTCAAACCCTTTTGCTTTACAATACACTGAATTAAATGTGTTAAAAACTAAATTAATTAAAAAAGTCACTCAGCATTGCAGGAGAAACAAGTAATACTTCTGAATCATGATTCAATCTATTTTGTCACTGATGGCTAATGTCACTGATGTAAATGTGGATCAATCTTTTATTTCTCTGACAGGGGTCAGTCCTGGGACCTCTTCTGTTCAGTCTCTACATGTTACCATTAGGTCAGTTAATACACAGTAATAACAACAAAGACTACACTAAGATCTATGTCTTACTGAGACAGAATGACATGGACCAGTGGAAACAGTAGAAACAAAGAGGGTGTCTTCTGTCACCTCCAGTCTCTCTCCCTAAAACCTTCTAATCAGGCCGGATATCTAGGGGTCATAATGGATTCATACTTAAACATTTACACCCACATCATATTAGTAACGTCAGCAGCGTTTTACCATCCGAAAACATGTCTGTATATTCATCTCGCTGCAGCTCAAGTCCTGACTAGAACCAGGAAGAACCATCAAATTAGTCCTGGTCACTGCGCGGCTTCGTGTGGCTCAGAGAATAGACTCTGCTTGAGTACAAGTCTTTCTGTGGCCTCGCACCAAAGTACATCTGTGACATGTTAGTGCCATATGAACCAACTCAGACCTCCTGCTGGGACTCTAAGGAGCACAGGGACCGGTCTCCAGCTAGGACTCTGAGGAGTACAGGGACTGGCCTCCTGCTGGGAATCTGAGGAGCGCAGGAACTTGCATGCATGTACGTAAACATGCTCTCCATCACCAACAGAAATGAACTCACTAAAGCAGGGGTGTCCAAACCGGTCCAGAAAGGGCCACTGTGACAGCAGGTTTTCTATCAGACCCAGCAGGAGCAGAGCAGACTCCGCCCATTTCGTCAAGTGAGTTCAGTCTTGGGCCCAATCCCAATACCCACACTGCACCCTACACTCCTCTACGAAGTGTGCATTTGTTTGAAGTGCACGCAAGGGTTTGAGTGCGCAGCTTACGAGCGTGCAAAAAAGGCGGAATTGGGACAGTGCAGGTTACGTCATCGACTCGTCAAGAGATGGTCATTCAGACCTAAACTTTATAAAAATTTAAGGTATTTTTGTCTGACCCTGTGGGAAACAAAATGAGTTGCTCCACATACGTTAAAATACATGTATGTTGGTTATTCGTAATTTTAGAAAAACTGGCCTTGTCTTATATCCATTATAATGATGAGACGTAAAGTGTGAGGCCAGTAGAAGTACAGAACAATCACTCTTTCATCTGTTCTGCTGCCGGAGAGCTGGATGAGATGGAGCGGGGAATCCCACAGGAAGTCAGACAGAGCCGGGACCAGGAAGGAAGAGCACCGGACAGGAAGTCAGGCACGCAAATTCACCAATCACAGCGCACCGCTCAGCAATCATCGTTAAACCCCATGGCCCCAAACTGGCGCGTGGAGTTACAACACAATTGTTGTGTTCACACACAACACATTGAGAAAGTTGCATGTTTTACCTTTTAGTTACATTTATGATGTTCTTACAATTATTTTGTTAGACCATATTGTAATAGCATAATTTCTCACTTCTACCGCTAACAAGGGGTAATGTAATATTTCACATGTTTTCTACTCACTAAAATGTATTAAACTTTGCTTAAAGGGGCATTTTCCACTTATAAAAGTTCAAATTATGATGTCTACAGTTTTTTAGGACACATTTTTTTGTAGGTTTTCTGGTTTCTCAGCAGAAAAAACCTTGCAAACAATGGATCCAATAGCATCTTTGCAAACACTGTAATGGAAAGTAAAACCACCATACTGACCACTCACACAGACAATGGGTAAATCTTTCATAAATAATCCAACACAAAAATAATTGTGTTTGTCCCAAAAGGAAGAGTCTTGTAAATGTAAAATGTCAGGTGGTGCAGAGGCACAGTGTTCTTCCAGCGTTTGCCCCGGTCTCCCCTACCATGTGCCTCCTGTATACGACCAATTCACATTATGAAACGCTAATGTTAACATCATCAAGAAGGTTAAAATGAATTCAAAGAAGATATTCCCCAATGTGGCTTTTTTGCAACGCTGTTGCTACTTTCTGAGGATAAATATGATGCCCATTGTCCCAATGTTCTTTTTTTCTGAACATTTGAGAGTACATAAATGGGACAATGGTTATAGTCTCTATAAGACTGTTGTGGCAAAGAGGGAGCAGTGTCTACAATTAAATCTTTGGTTTACCACTCAGTCTATGCTCCCAATCTCGCCTATGGTAATGATCTTTGGGGAACGACCCACAGGAAAAGATGGAGAAAACAAGGGTTCCACATGAGTTCCCTCCACAGATGACTGGGCGTTACCTTATAGAGATAGGGTTAGGAGCTTCGTCAAATGGGAGGACCTTGAAATAGATCTGCTGCTCCATCACGTGAAGAGGAGTCAGTTGAGGAAGTGAGAGGAGGGATCTGTTTGGGATTCCTTCTGGAAGAATCCCTGGGGAGGTGTTCCGGGCATGTCCCATCCTTGCCTGGAGGTGTTACAGGCAAGTTGATCCAGGAGATGCACAGAACTAGGTCTCTTCGCTGATCTGGGCCCACCTCAGGATTCCCCTGATGAACTTGGGAAAGTGTGTTCAGGGTACAGCCTCTGTGACTCTGACGTGCATAAAGAGATAAAAGAAGGATTCAAAAAAGCATAAAAAACTTCCACATCCCTGTTCATGATGTCACGGATCACCTATACTTTGTGAGAGAAGGGGATATTAACAGAATTAATTATCAGAATCAGAATCATTTTTATTGCCACGTAAGTAACAGGAGGTCACAGACTTGGAAATTGCTTTGGCTCAGTGCAACAGTCAGAAAGAGATAATAAAAATAAGAATAAAAAACACTTCTAAAGAATAAATTTAAATTTAAAATAGAGTTACAGTTACTATTTACGATATACAAGTGCACATGGTGCACAGAATGTAAGGTGACAGCAGTACAGTGAAGTAAAGTGACGTGTGATGGGCAGTAAAGTGACTTTATAAAGGGCGGGGGGACAGGTTAAGAAGTGTTCAAGAGTCCAACAGCAGAGGGGAAGAAACTGTTCTTGTGGCGGGAGGTTCTAGTCCTGATGGACCGCAGTCTCCTGCCTGAGGGGAGTGGTTGGAATAGTCCATGTGCAGGGTGAGAGGGGTCGGCTGTGATGCAGCTCGCGGAAATTCAATTTAGAAGATGTCAGCCAAAAGCTACCCCCTCCGGGCCGACTCGCATCCCCAGCCTATCGCACAGCAAACGCCCCCTTCCAATCACCCGTACCGGCCAGGCAGCCGCTTAAAAGCGGAGAAACTCCCACTTCACGGCCTCCCGAAGCCTCGCAAAGAATCGTTCTGGAGGAATCACCTTCGTCTACTCACGCTACTCGTGCGTGTCCCTGGTGTCCTCCGTCTTGCTGCGTTGTGGTCTGCTCCTCCTCCGCGTCCCTGCACCTGCTGTGGTTTGCGTGTCTCCACTGCTCTCCTCCTCTGCGGGCTCTTTTCTGCGGGCTGCTCCGCGGGCCCCTCCGCGGGTTCCGTGCTGCTCGTCTCCTCGTGGTCTGCTGCCGCGCGCAGACGGTCTGGCGGTGCCGTGCGTGTCCCTGCCACCGTCGGCGTGCCGCGTTGTCCCGTTGGTTTTCCCAAGTCTCCTGGCATGTGTGTGTGTTGACCGCGGACGGATTAATCCCGGAGTCTGGGCTGCAGGCTTGGTCTTTGCCCCGCGCACTGGACTGCAGGCGTCAGTTTTCGCCCCGTGCTTGGTCTGCAGGCTTCGTTTTCACATGTGTTTGAGCTAACTGAGGGGCAATGCATATTAAATGGCACCAATCTCTATCGTCTGGGGATATAAGAGGAGCAATGTGCATTAATTCAGATTCATGTTCTGCCACTTGCAGTAAAACCACGTCGGAAAAATCTGTAAGACTACCCCATTGTGCTCCAGACGGCACACACCAGAGCTCTTGCCACGGCGCCATCTTTGCAGCATTAATCTCATTACTCGCAGGTCACTATTGTTTAATGATTGTATTAATTTCGTCTATCTGCGGGAGGAAGGAGGGGCCATGTATTTAAATAGCTAGGTCACTGGTATTTAATTAGGTAACTAAACTGCAGTTGTTGCATTTGAAAGTGCAGCAGAAAGAAAAAGGGCCCAATGTGAATCTGCAATGGGTGTGAAGTGGTGTTGGAGCTAATGAACGCGTGGAACAGTGATCGTTCATGCGTATCTGCCATAACCAAAGCAGCAAGATGGCTCCAGGGGACGTCTGTTATTCGCATGGGAATGTTTTGGATTCGGGTTGATTTATTTCCTCAGGCTCTTAAACAACCATGGGCATGGTTCTCTGACCGCCGCTGCTGCCGGTCCCTGCTGCCGTTCCTACTGATGCCTGATCCCGCTGCTGCCTGTTCCCGCTGCTGCCTGTTCCTGCTGCCGCTCCTGCTGCTGCCTGTTCCTGCTGCTGCTCCTGCTGCTGTCTGTCCCCGCTGCCTGCTCCTGCTGCTCCTACTACTACATGTGCCGCTGCTGCTGTACCTGCCGCTGCCACTCCGCAGGCTCCCAGGCTGCACCTGTCTCTACGGCTCGGCTCTTTCAGACACGTATGTAACCTGGCTCACGGAGACAAGCAGCGCACGCTGGCGTGACACGTCTGTTGTTCGTATGACTCGCATCGTGGTGCTGCTGCTCCCGCTAATGCTGCTTCTGCTGCTTCATACTGCTACCGCTACTGCTGCCGCTGCTGCTTCTCATGCTACTGCTGCTGCTGCTGCTGCTTCATACTGCTACTGCTGCTACTGCTGCTGCTTCATACTGCTACTGCTGCTACTACTGCTGCTGCTGCTTCTTTTACTTTGCCATCTCTCTTCACTTGCATCTCTTTTTCTGAAACACTGAACAGCTACAACAACATTCTACTGCTGCGGCTTTGATACAGGATTATACCTGTTATTTTCTAAGGATGCTGCTACTGCTGCTGCTGCTGCTGCTGCTGCTGCCGCGGCTTGATACAGGATTATTGCTGTTATTATCTGAGGTTACTGCTGCTGCCGCTACTGCTACTGCTACTGCTGCAACCCACTCTCTCAGAAGCTTATCCTGCTTCTAATGGACGCAGCCCGGCTGAGTATGCCGCGCTGCGCCGGACTCGCACCTATGCTCCCAGGGTCGCTTCGGCGGTCATGCTTCATCTCTCTACTTAATCTTCTGATTCTATCAGATGCAGCTGGCCGAGTAGTAAGTAAGTAAGTAAGTAAAGTTTATTTATAAAGCGCTTTTCACAGATAAAATCACAAAGTGCTGTACAGGGTAAGAGCAAAAACAATAAAAAAAATGTGGGGACACCTGTAAAATCAAAGTGACACTAGTGAAAACCCATCAACCAAAAGCTTTTTTGAATAGACATGTCTTCAGGTCCTTTTTAAAAGAGTCCACAGATCCGGCCAGACGCAGAGACAGGGGCAAGGCGTTCCACAGTCTGGGAGCAGCGGACTGAAAAGATAGGTCCCCTCGAGTTTTATAACGAGTCTTTGGGACAACAAGCAAGTTCTGACCGGAGGACCGAAGGGTGCGGCCAGAGGAATATGGGCACAAAAGGTCCAGGATGTACTGTGGGGCCTGACCGTTTAAGGCTCTGAAAGTCAGCACTAGTATCTTAAAATCAATCCGGAAAAGTCTAGCAGCAGAATTTTGAACAATTTGCAGTTTGTTCAAAACAGACTTATTCAGACAGGTAAAAACAGAGTTACAATAATCCAGTCTTGTTGAAATGAAAGCATGAATAATAATTTCCAGATCCTTCCTTGACAATATTTTGCGAATTTTAGAGATGGTCCTAAGGTAATAAAGACAATTTCGGACGAGCTGTTTAGAGTGTGTCTCCAAAGACATGGCCTGGTCAAACACAACCCCCAGGTTTCTGAGGCTGGGTTTGACAGAGGAGCCCAGAGAGCCAAGGTACTGTTTGATCTGGGGGATCTTGTGGTCTGGAGCAATGATCAGTGTTTCGGTCTTGTCTGAATTCATCTGCAAATAGTTAGTGGACAGCCAGTCTTTGATAGAGGACACGCACTCTAAGAACAGAGACAAACGATGGAGCTCAGCATCATTAAAAGAACAATACAACTGGATATCATCAGCATAGAAATGATACGATACATCCTTAAAGCAGCCGATAATTTGACCAAGTGGCAAAATGTACAGTAAAAACAAAATAGGGCCTAAAACTGATCCTTGAGCCACTCCGCAAGACAAATTGGTCGCATCTGACTGTACATTGTTTACAGCAACATTAAAGGTTCTGCCTTGAATATAGGAAGAGAACCACTGGAGGACAGATCCAGATAGTCTCATCTCATTATGAAGCCGGTTGATCAGTATACTGTGATCCACAGTGTCAAAAGCAGAGGTCAAGTCGAGAAGTACGAGTACAGTGTAGCGGCCGGAGTCCGCTGCCATCATCACCTCACTAGAGACTCTGATAAGAGCTGTTTCAGTGGAATGTAATTTTCGAAAACCTGACTGAAAGGTATCAAACAAGTTGTGCTGTTCCATAAAGGAGGTCAGCTGGCACGCAACGACTTTTTCCAAAATTTTTGAAATAAATGGAAGTTTTGATATGGGCCTGTAGTTTTTAGGTTCTAAAGGGTCAAGACTGGGCCTTTTAAGGATTGGGTTTACCACAGCGTGTTTGAAGCAGCTGGGGAAGAAGCCAGATGCAAGCGACAGGTTAATAATTTTTACCACACAGGGGCCGACAGTATCGAACATTTTCAACAACAGAGGTGTTGGGACAATGTCGGTGGGGCTTGAAGACGGTTTCATGTTTCCTATTAAGGTCTTCACATCCTGTAGGCTGACAGGAGTGAAGGACGACCAAGACGACACCGGAGAGAAATCAATAGAACAAGCGCTAACGAGAGGGGGTTTAACACTTGCCCTAATGTCTCGTACTTTGTTCACAAAAAACGACAAAAAGTTGTTGCAGTCCTCATGTGTGTACACAGGCACAAGAGGAGCCAGAGGTGCAGTTAGATTTTCAATGGTGTCAAACAGGACTTTTGGATTTTTCTTATTTCCTGACACAAGGTTAGAAAAATAAGCTGAGCGAGCCTGCTTTATCAACTCATTCAGCTCCAGCATCATTTCCTTTAAATGGAGTCTATGTACCTCTAATTTAGTGGCTTTCCACAGACGCTCTGTCTTCCGACATTTTCTCCTAAAATTACGAATGCTATCAATCATCCATGGGAGGGCCTTTTTGTGTGAACCCGAAATCGTTTTAACAGGTGCTACCATATCCAATATGGACAAACAGTGGTTATTGAAACTTTGTACAAAGGAATCAACATCGTCACAGTCAGCAAAGGAGCGAGGGTCAAAAGAGGCAGAGAAATCACTAGATGTTGCCTCACTAATGATGCGTTTTTGTGTTACAGCATTACAAACAGTGGGCATCGTGATAAGTGACAGATTAAAAGAAATGCTACAATGGTCGCTGACATGGATTTCCTCAACACTCAGATTGTCAATGTACAGGCCACAGGAGAAAACCAAATCTAGCGTATGACCTTTTTTATGTGTGGGGCCAGAAACGTGCTGTTCAAAATTGAAAGAGTCCATGATAGACAACAGTTCGGCTGCAGTCAAACATGAAGGGTCATCAATATGTAGATTAAAGTCACGAGGACTAAAACGCTATCTAGTTTGATGATAGACGTTAAAAACTCAGTGAAATCATCAAGAAATGTGCGTGCAGGGCCAGGAGGTCGGTAAACTAAAACACAGTAAAAGGGGTGAGTTTTTCCAACCTTACACATCTGCAGCTCAAAGGAGTCGAACGAAGCTGGCACCATTAAGCTACAACAGAAAGAATCCCGGAAGACTAGCGCGAGGCCGCCTCCTCGGTGCGCGGGTCGCGGAGTCCCAATCACGGAGCAGTCCGGGGGGCATAGCTCTTTTAGATGAACGTGCTCGTTCTCCCGCTGCCAAGTCTCTGTGATGAACATAAAATCCAAGGTCTCCTTAGTGAAATGGTCGTTCAGAATAAAAGCTTTGTTCGTAATAGAGCGCGCGTTGAGAAGTGCGATCCTGGTGGTGCGCGTGCGTGTCGAGGGCTGGCCTGGGACAGGCTGGATGGCAGGATCCGTCTGACAGGTAACCGGGCGCAGGACACGCTGGCGAGGCGAACGATGGCCAGCAGTCGGGTAGGGAAGACCCGGTCGGAGGTGCTCCGCACAGGCGGTGGCGCACGGACCGGAACGAACCTCAGGCACCGCATACTCCCAGGAGCTCCGGATCCGTTCAGCCCGGGTAAAGAACCACGGGATCGCCACATCCTCCTCCTGACTTGGAACCCAGCCCTGGATCCCCGCTTCCTTCTCCTTCCACGGCGCCGGCTAAGCAGCAAGTATTCCAGCGATGACGCATGACACTCCGGTTTAATCAATCAATCAATCAAAGTTTATTTATAAAGCGCTTTTTCATACAACAGATGCAACACAAAGTGCTTTACAGTTTGGCTAAAAAACAATCCTGCCCATGCCCTCCCCCCGACCGCCCAACAGACCCTCCCCAGACCACAAGCAAACACCCCCCCCCCCACACACACACGCACCGATAAAACAATAAAACGATGATAAGAGACTTGGCAGGGTTCAGATGCAACCGGCTGAAGAAACGCCATCCAAGGAGCCGTCAGCACCAGGAGCAGAGAGCCGCCCATAGCCAAAGGGGACGACACAGGACCCAGAGGGGACCCAAAACCGAGGCCCCGGGCCCCCACCAGGTCCAAGAGTCCGACCCCCACAGCCACAGCCAACCACCGCTCCCAGCGCAGAGGGCTCCTCCAGAGGAAACACTGGGGATACTTAAAAACAATACAATAAGTAAAACACTAAAATGTGAGCCTGAAAGGAACTATCACACAAAAAACATGAATAAAAGCAATAGCAATATAATAAATAATAAAGGATAAATAGAATATATAAAAATGGACTGATAAATACTAATCAAAAGCTAATCTAAAAAGGTGTGTCTTGAGCCTGGCTTTAAAAATATGAATGTTCTCTGCGACCCTGAGCTCCTCCGGCAGACTGTTCCAGAGACGGGGGCCGTAGTGTTGGAAAGACGCCTCACCGTGAGTGTGTGTCCTGACTTTGGGGATGGTTAGGAGTCTGCTGCCGGAGGAGCGCAGGGGCCGGGAGGGTTCATAGGATAAAAGCAGTTCTGAAAGATAAGAAGGCCAAGACCATTAAGACATTTGAAAACCATTAGGAGAACCTTAAAATCAATCCTGAAACACACGGGGAGCCAATGCAGCGATTTTAAAACCGGTGTAATGTGGTCCCGCCCCCTGGTCTTAGTCAGGACACGTGCGGCCGAGTTTTGGAGTAATTGTAAACCTGAAATGTTCTTTTTGGAAAGACCAGAGAGCAGGGCATTACAGTAGTCAATGCGACTGGTTATAAAAGCATGCATCAGCGTCTCCGTGTTGGCCCGAGAGAGAATGGGGCGGACTCTGGCGATGTTCTTCAAATGATAAAAACCTATTTTTGTTATATTCTTAATGTGAGGAATAAAAGTCAGCTCAGAGTCAAAAATTACGCCCAGGTTTTTCACATGTGGTGATGGATTAAAAGAGTGTGATTGGAGTTTTGGTAAAAGTTTCTCTCTCTGGGCCTCAGGACCGATGACTAAAACCTCAGTTTTGTCCTGGTTAAGCTGGAGAAAGTTTTCTGCCATCCAGGATTTCAGGTCTAAAATGCAGTTAAAAAGAGCATCCATTGGCCTGGTGTCATCAGGAGACATGGAGATGTACAGCTGAGTATCATCTGCATAACTGTGGAAGTTAATTCCATGTCTCCTGATGACACCGCCAAGCGGGAGCATGTACACGTTAAAAAGGACTGGACCTAAAATGGAACCCTGGGGCACACCACATGTGATTTTATGGACCTGAGAGGAGCAGGTATCCAAACTTACCATGAAGGATCTGTCTGTTAAATAAGAAGTGAACCATTTGTGGACAGCACCAGAGAGGCCGAGGTGTTTCAGGCGGGATAAAAGAATGGTGTGGTCTACTGTGTCGAAGGCAGCGCTAAGATCCAGTAGAACCAACACAGTAACCTTTTTAGAATCATAATTTAATCTAAAATCATTTAAAATCTTTAAAAGAGCCGTCTCTGTGCTGTGGTTCACCCTAAAACCTGATTGAAATGTCTCTAAAATTTGCTGTTGATCTAAAAAGGCATTGAGCTGGGTAAAAACAAGTTTTTCTAAAATTTTGCTTAAAAATGGTAAGTTGGACACCGGTCTGTAGTTGTTAAGATCATTAAAATCTAAATTGCTCTTCTTCAGAAGGGGTCTCACCACAGCCGCTTTGAAGGCTGCAGGAAAGACCCCAGTCTGAAGAGAGCAATTCATCAGGTTTAAAAGCTCCTCTCTAAAAGATTCATAAAATGACTTAAAAAATGGAGTGGGGACTGGATCTAAAAGACATGTGGTGGGCCTCACTGAGGAGAAAACTTTATCAAGCATCTCAGCATCAACCAGGACAAAACTGTCCAGTGTTTCCTCTGGCGAAGACAAACAATCAGATGTGTTAAAAACAGTAGTACAATTGGATAAAATGTTACATCTGATTGTGTTTATCTTCCCCATGAAGTGGACTGCAAAATCCTCACAGAGGGAGTCTGTGGGGGTTAAACGAGACATGCTAAAATCAGGTTTAAAATGGTGTCAATGGTTGAAAATAGGACTTTCGCATTGTTTTTGTTTTGGGTGATTAGTTTTGAGAAATAATTGTTTCGGTTTTTCCTAATTGTTTTGTTGTATGTTTTTTGTTGGTTACTGTACATTTCGTAATTGATTGTTGTTTTGTTTTTCCTCCACCTACGTTCCGCCACCCTGCACTCTCTTTTCATTCTCCTTACTTCTTCGTTCCTCCATGGGGGTACAGATTTTGTTCCGGTAGTTTTTGTTTTCAAAGGAGCAACCTGATCTAACGTAGTTTTGAGTCTACTGTTAAAATCATTTGCTAACAGATCACAGGGGGCGGGTAAAACCAAGTGAGGAGTGTTATTAAGAATGTCTATAAAATTTGCAGCCACTTCAGGGGTTAGATGTCGCTTCCTCACGGTTCTCAAAGAGGTCTCACGCTGGATAAAACCAGTGATGTTAAAAAACACGCAGTAGTGGTCAGAGACAGCCAGGTCGACAACAGAGGACACATCCGCAGTCAAGCCATAAGTAATGACCAGGTCGAGGGTGCGTCCCTGTCGTGCGTTGGCTGTGTGACGTGTTGGGTAAAATCCATGTAATTAAGGACATTTAAGAACTCATTGGAAAAATTATCTGAGGGATTGTTGATGTGTATGTTAAAATCACCGGTTAGAAGAATCATATCATAAGAATTGTATATAACTGATAAAAACTCTGAGAATTCCTTAATAAAACGGCAGCACCTCTTTGGTGGCCTATAAATTATGACTGCTAAAATTTTGGGGTTGCTAAAAACAAGAGAAAGATATTCAAAACTTGAGTATTGGTTAAAAGTGATAGGTTTGGTGGCAAGAGTGTTAGTGCATAGTGAGGCTGTGCCACCGCCCCTTTTCCCTTCTCTTGTGGTAAAAGCAAAGCTAAAATTTGGGGGAGAGGCCTCTGTGAGAATAGCCGATGCATCTGAACCAAGCCAGGTCTCAGTTAAGAACATAACATCCAGGTTTTTTTCTAAAATAAGATCATGAATGATAAAAGTCTTGTTTAAAAGAGAACGTACATTTAAAAGAGCTAGGCTTATGGTTAAAAGAGGTGTTGGCGGTGTACCTTTTGAGGCAGATTTATTTTTTGCAAGTTCAGAGTTCAAAGGGACGTGGTGAGGAGCAGAGGACGTGGAAGGAGGGGGGGCAACAGGGATGAGGTTGGTGAGACATGGTTTCCTGGAACTGGAGGGTCTGTAGGGACGGGGTCTGGATATGGCTGGGATCTTGTGCTGGGGAGAAGAGGGGCTGGTGTTGAGGGGTGACGGAGCAGGTGAGATGGGGGATGCGGTAGTGGGTTGTCAGAAATATATGGAGCGGGATTGAACTGTGTGGATGATGTTGGAAGTGAGGTACCGGTTGCCAAGGGGGGTGATATGAAGTCCATCTCGTTGGAAGAAGAGGGGGCGGTCCCAGAACAGATTAAAATTGTCTATAAAAGCAAAGTTGTGTTGGAGTGACGAATGATTGAGCCAGGTGTTAAGTGATAAAATTCTGCTAAAACGCTCCCCGCCACGGGCCAGAGTGGGCAGAGGGCCAGAGATAAAAACAGTTTTTCCAGTCTCTGATAGCAGTTTAAAAAGGTCCTGAAAATGGAGTTTTGTGTTCTCAGACTGGCGGAGTGATGTATCGTTGGTACCAACATGGACGATGATCCGGGTTATTGTGCTTGGGGCAGTTTGGAGAAGTTTAGGAAGTGTATGAAGTAGAGTGGTGACTGTGGCTCCGGGAAAGCAGTGCGTGGTGGCGTTAAAAAACCTACATCTACGGATGATGGAGTCACCCACCAGCAGTGTTGTGGGAGCGAAGAGGGGTCGTGGAGGGTGTGATGTGACAGGCACCTGTGGAGGGGCTGGGGGTGAGAGGGGTACAGAGGGGCCCTGGGGTGTGCCCGGAGCTGAGTCCCCATGAGCGGCAGTGGAGCAGCATGGAGCACCCGGAGACGGATGTTTTGTTGGAGCCGGGGCGACCATATTGGCCGTGGTGGTGGCAGTAGTGGTGGTGGTGGCGGGCGTGGGAGGGACCAGCGCAGGGCTGGAGGGGTGCCCAACAGGCGGAATGGCTTTCACGTGCACGGGAGGTCTCCTCACTGCGTCAGAGCGCTGAGACCTCCCCGCGGGTGAGGCAGCGTTCGCGGGGGGGGCCCGCGCCTCGTCAGAGCGTGGAGACCCCCCCGCGGATGGGGCAGCGTTCACGGGGGGCCTCGGCGCTGCGTCAGAGCGCCGAGGCCTCCCCGCGGGTACCTGGGCATAAGCCGCGCTGTCAGGACTCCCCTCCGCGTCAGAGCGCACAGACCCTCCCACTCCAGAGATAGCAGCCCCGGGGACAGCCCGCGCGGGGTCACCGCGAGGAAATCCCCCCGGGGCTGCCTCACCGCTCACATTAGGCACAGCACTCGGGAGCTCCCTCGCTGTGTCAAAGCGCGGGAAGCTCCCGGAGTGTCTGCGGACTGCCTCCACCACTAACCTGCGACGGGATGTCGATGTTGTCACCCCGGGGTCTCCAGGCCTCTGCTCCGCGCCGCTCTGGGAAGCGGGCTCCGGGCCTATCGGCGGGGAGAGAGCGTCGGGGGGGTCAGACGTGCAGGGGCCAGCAGGAGCAGCCGCCACCGGGAAGCGTGAGGTAAGAAGCGGGGTAGAGCAGGAGAACGGGTGGGGGCACAAGATTGGGTC